CGGGGGGGGCACGTGGGCGTGGATGCACACGGGGCACGTGGGTGTGGAGGAGCGGGGGGGGGCACACAGGCGTGGAGGCGTGGGGGGGCACACGGGTGTGGAGGCATGGGGGGAACATGGGTGTGGGTGCACACGGGGCACGTGGGTGTGGAGGCACACGGGTGTGGAGGCACACGGGGCACACGGGTGTGGAGGCACACGGGGCACACGGAGGGCCGGTCAATGAGAAGGCCGGGTGCCTGCCGGCAGTGGGAGGGGAGGAGGCAGGAGGGGAGGGAGCCTGAGCCCAGGAAGGTGCTGGGAAGGAGGTGGAGGGGTGCTGGCACTGGCTTGGGGAGGTGGCAGCAGAGTGGCCCGGGCTAGAGTCTGGGATGGTCTTCCAGTGCGTGGGTGCCCCACAGCTCAGTGGTTTCCAGGCTCTCCTGTACCCACCTCTGGCCCGGTGCCAGGCTCCGCAGGGCAGCTTCCTGGAAGCTCTTGGCCTGCCCCTCTGGAGAGGCAGACAGCAACACTTCCACAGGCCCCTGATGGGACTGGGCAGTGTGTGTGTGTGTGTGTGTGCGTGTGTGTACTGGGCAGTGTGTGTGTGTGTGTGTGTGTGTGTGTGTGCAGCTCAGGTCTCTCTATTCTCAACACGTGCACCTACAGCGCGGGGTCAGGGTTGGGACTGGAGTGTGGAGGCATGGTGGCTGCTGGGAGAGGGCGTTAGACCCCTGGCAGGCCCTGGGGTAAGGGGAGCCTCCTTCCTTGCCCTGTAGGTGCCCTGGCTCTGGCCAGCGGCGAGCTTTTCCTGGAACGCAGGCCTGAGGTGCTTTGGGTGTTTCTCAGTGGCTCACAGCTGGATTGCATCTAGCCAGATGCAATTTCTGGAAAATTCTTGTGGTCTAGTGGTACATTCCTCCCACAGCGATGGGGGCAGGCGGGACAGGCGGCTGCCAGTGCCATGCAAGGGTGGTACTGGAGCCATTTCGCCTTTGCCCCTTTGGCCACCTTTACAACAGGCTGCAGCTGCTATCTGCGCCCCGCCTGGCCACAAACGGCCCCAAGGTGGGGCTTCCTTCCTAAGTGAGTCACAGACTCTGCCCCCTCCCCAGGCCTGAGTCACTGGCAGTGTGCCCTGTGGGGGGGCTCCATTGCACCCTGTACCATGCCCCAGAAAAGGGAGGTGGCAGGCCGGCTGGGTGAGTCAGTGCTCAGCTATGAACTGCACTTGCTTGCCCCAGGGGTTCTCCGCTTGGGTGGGGCTCAGCAGAAGCTTTGGGGGTTCTGCAGGAGACCAAGGTTGAGAGCCCAGCAGGCCAGGCCTGGGGGAGCTGTGGGGGGCGGCAGGGGCCCCTCCCAGTAGAAGGTGGGATGTGATATGCCCCCCCAGCCCAGGTGTCTCCTGTGGGGAAGGGGGGGCAGGCTGAGGTGGCCAGAGGCCTGTAGGCGTGTTCTGTGAAGATGGGGGGCCACCCTGGGCACCCCCCACTGTTGTGAGGACACAGAGCTGGGAGCTCCCACCCCAGCCTTCCCCCAGATCCTGCCGTGGGGGCTGGGGGAGGAAACCCCAACTTCCTGTTTCTGTGGATTGAGGGTGTGGCTGCAGGGGAGGGGCGGCCTTCCCCCTTCCCGTGGGACACGCCCCCCTGCGCCATGGGGTGGGGCTCCCCCAGAGCCCTGCCTGGGCTGGGGAGTGAGACAGACAGCTCTGAGCTGATCCTGTGGGGAGCGCGTGTCCAGTGCGGCCGCCAGCCTCCAGCAGCCTGTGCGCCCAGGGCCTACGGAGCACCGCACCTGAGGGCTGAGGGACAGGGCCCTGCCATGGCTCAGCACCGGCTCCGCGTCCCGGAGCCAGAGGGCCTGGGTGGCAAGAGAACCAGCTCAGAGGACAACCTCTACCTGGCTGTGCTCAGGGCCTCTGAGGGCAAGAAAGGTAGCGGCGCCGCGGGGCGGGCCTGGCAGGAAGGGCCTGTTCTGTGGCAGGAAGCTGGGCGCTGGGTGGGGCCCGGGCTCCGGCGGTCTGGGTTTGGGGGACGCATTCTGAGATGGGCGGCAGCCTGCGCTCAGTGCTGACGGGGGCCTTGAGTGAGGGCCTGGGCCGCGGGGGCCCTGGCTGCCCCCAGAGAGGGCTCGCTGGCTGTGCAGCTGGGAGGGCCAGCCTCTGACCCGCCCGACAGCCATGCTCCCCTCGTGGGAGGCGGCCTGGGGTGCTGCAGGTCCTGACTTGTGCACCCTGAGTTCTGGGTGTGGCTGCCGCCTCACGCTTCCTTGGAAGACAATGGAGGCTTTGACCAGCAGCACCTGTCTGGGCCAGGGCCAGGGCCAGGGTCTGGGTCGGTCTGGCTCTGCTGTCTTGGTGGCGATGGAGGCTCGGAGGACCTGAGTCTCCATCACCTGGAAGAGCCCCTGGTTTGGGGCCCTCAGACTTGGCTTGGCTCTCCAGGCTGCAGAACCCACAGGTGTCGGCCTCCGGGGTCTCCCCGGGCCACTCCCCAGCCCCACATACACTGGCCTTGTCTCCTGCAGATGAGCGGGACCGTGTGCAGAAGAAAACGTTCACCAAGTGGGTCAACAAGCATCTCATCAAGGTGGGTGGGTGGCAGCTGTGCCCGCGGGGAGGGACCAGGGCCGCCCCGCCCGTGTCCCCGCGCTGCCCCAGCTCCCTTTCCTCTCTGAGATCTTATTTTCTGTCCTTTCCTTCCGTGCCCGCTCCTGTCTTCTGTTCTCTCTAACTTCTGGTCCCTCCTGGTCTCTGCTGCAGCACTGGAGGGCAGAGGTAGGTGGCTGTGTGGGGCAGCGCCTGCTCTTCGCCGCCTCTCCCCTCGGGCTCCTGGTGGCCGAGGGGACCGGGCCACACAGCCGCCACTGTTGTTGCAGGCACAGAGACATGTCAGCGATCTGTATGAAGACCTCCGTGACGGCCACAACCTCATCTCCCTGCTGGAGGTCCTCTCGGGGGACAGCCTGGTACGTGCATCCCGGCCGTCTGGGGCCCTGCACGCCGCCCTCCCCTCCCCCAGTGCCCCCACCTTCTCTCCTTGGGGCCTGTCCCACCTGTCCACGGCCCCTCTCACCCCCCGCCCCCTGCTGGGCCTCCTGTCCTGGTTGGCGTCCCAGCCGAGGGTCTGGCCTGTGAGTGGCCCTGACCTTTGCCGCAGGCCGCGCTGGCCTTTGCTGTCCTCTGCATTGGAGCCCTAACACAATGACCTCATGCTCTGCTCTGCTCTGCTTTCTCTGCTGCTTGGATTCTGAATCTTGACCTCTGCCCTTTACCCTTTGCCCTGCTCTGGCTGGGCAGCCGAGGGAGCGGGACCTAATCAGGAGCCTGCGCCTGGTGAGTGGTGGTGCTGGCCACAGCGGCACACGGGCTCCCTAAGGCCGGAGCCCGTGCAGCTCCCGTGGGGCTGGTGGCCAGGCCGGCCCGGCCCACGCCTAGCTCTTGGGTGGGAGACGGTTGTGTGTCCAACTCCCCTCTCTCTTGTCCACTGTCCCGCTTCGGTCCGGGCCTGGGCCCAGCAGAAGCTGCAGTGGCTGCCGCCACCGCCCTGCCCTCCACCCTCGGCTTCCCGGCCATTGTCTCCTCCCCGCCCCTTCCTTCCTTCTCCAGCTTGGGTTGCAGGCTCCCAACCCCTGCTGGGCCTGGGGCTGGGGGTCCCCGTTTTCAAGGTGAGGGGGGCCCAGGATATGTGAGGTGCTGTCACCCACTTGGTTTGGTCACTGGTGCTGCTCTGGTGACTCTTCGGGGGCTGGCCTGGGAGCTGTGGCTGCCAGGGGGCCCTGACCCTGCCCTGCCTTCTCTCAGCCCCGGGAGAAGGGGAGAATGCGCTTCCACAAGCTACAGAACGTCCAGATTGCCCTGGACTACCTGCGTCACCGCCAGGTAAGACACCCTGGCCTGCCCTGCTAGGGGGCCCAGGCCGCAGGCCCCGTCCCTGCCCTTCCCCAGCCACAGGCCGCAGGCCCCGTCCCTGCCCTGCTAGGGAGCCCAGGCCGCAGGCCCCGTCCCTGCCCTTCCCCAGCCACAGGCCGCAGGCCCCGTCCCTGCCCTTCCCCAGCCACAGGCCGCAGGCCCTGGCCAGCTCTGAGGCCCTGACTGACAACTCCCTGCACTTAGGTGAAGCTGGTGAACATCAGGAATGATGACATTGCAGACGGCAACCCCAAGCTGACCCTCGGCCTGATCTGGACCATCATCCTGCATTTCCAGGTAGAGTGCTGCCTGCAGGTAGAGCGCTGCCCGGGCTCCTTGGCTGCCCCGGAGGTGGCACCCTGGGGATGGCACCTTCCTGCCAGCCCCTGGCCAGCTTGGTGTAGCCTGAGGCCCGGTCCTCTCCCGGGGCCTGCTGTCCCACGCCCTCTGGCCCCTGCTGGGCGGGGCCTGCGGAGCCTCCTTGCGGAGGAATGTGCTCTTTGCTGCCTGCCCAGGAGCGGGGGAGCGAGTGGAGCTGGGGCTGCCCTGGCTGACTCACGCCTTGCCTGTGCCGCCCGCACAGGAAGCCACAAATCTGAGACTGGGGCTGCAGCCAGGCTGGCACGGCAGCTGAGTCACATGGGCTGGCAGGCCAACAGACAGACAGCTAGCAACAGGCCGGCAGACGTACTGATGGCAGGCAGGCTGGCAGACACAGGCTTGAGATTAGACCGTGCCAGGCTGTCTGGCACATACACCACGCATGGCTCCCAGAAAGCCAGCTGGGCGTGCAACCAGAGAGGACCCCTCCCCCCCACACCCCTCCGGTTGCAGCCCCTTCTCTAGACCTAGGGTTCTGGACCAACTTTGGGACCTGCACAGGCCCACCGTGCACCTACCGCCTACGATGCCCCCTTCTGGGCGTCGTGTGCTCCAGCGCCCACGTGGGTGGCAGGGGTGGGGCTCTGACTCGATCCGTGGCCGGAGACCCCTGGGCCTTGGTGTTGAGGTGTGTGGCAGGTCCCAGCGTCTCCTGGCCCTGAGAGCCGCACTGTGCCCGTTGCCCGTGTGCCCCCGCTGGGTGCCACGCCCCTCCGTCTTGGGCAGGTGGTCACGGCGCTGGGTGGGGAGGACGGCCAGGTGGCCGCGCTGAGCGTCTGCCTCCTGCCGCTCAGATCTCAGACATCCAGGTGAGCGGGCAGTCGGAGGACATGACGGCGAAGGAGAAGCTGCTCCTGTGGTCTCAGCGCATGGTGGAGGGCTACCAGGGCCTGCGCTGCGACAACTTCACCACGAGCTGGCGGGACGGCCGCCTCTTCAACGCCATCATCCACCGCCACAAGTACGTGGGGGAGGGGCGGCTTCCCGCAAGTCTGGGCGAGCCGAGAGCACGCAGGAGGGCGGCGTCCCCTGCCAACGGGACCGACCGTGCCTGCTGGGGAAGGCGCGTGCCTGGCCCTGCTCAGCTCCGGGGGCCCTTGGGCAGCACCTGTGTTCCTCCAGACCTGTGGGGGCAGAGGGCCGCCCGGCCTTCTCTCCAGGATCCTTCAGGAGGGGCCTGGTGGTCTAGGGATGCAGGAGCGCGGCTGACGCAGCGGCCCCTCCGTGCATGGCTGCTGTGCCCCCGGCCCGGCTCCCGGGCGGTGGACAGAGTATTTTCAGCCGTGCCTGCGCAGCAGTAGGGCCTTGAGGGGCAGGGGCGGACGTGGGGAGCGTGCACACTTGAGGGGTGTGTGGCAGCCTCTCGGGGCCTCCTGTCCCTTTTCTGGCTGGCCTCATCCCCACCGTCTTCCTCAGGCCCGTGCTCATTGATATGAACAAGGTGTATCGGCAGTCCAACCTGGAGAACCTGGACCAGGCCTTCTCCGTGGCTGAGCGGGACCTGGGGGTGACGCGGCTGCTGGACCCCGAGGGTGCGAGCTGCCCCTGCCCATCCCCCCTCCCCTCCCCCTCCCCCTTCCTGCTGTGCAAGGCCCCCCTCACCCAGCCCTGCCCCCGCAGATGTGGATGTGCCTCAGCCAGACGAGAAGTCCATCATCACCTACGTCTCGTCGCTGTACGACGCTATGCCCCGGGTGCCCAGTGCCCAGGATGGGGTGGGGGCCAATGTGAGTCGCCCCCTGGGAGGGTGGGAGCTGGGTCTCGGCCCAGGCTGTGGCCTCACGCCACCCCTGTGCCCAGGAGCTGCAGCTCCGCTGGCAGGAGTACCGCGAGCTCGTGCTGCTGCTGCTGCAGTGGATCCGCCACCACACGGCCTCCTTCGAGGAGCGCAAGTTCCCGTCCAGCTTCGAGGAGATCGAGGTGGGTGCTGGAGCCGGGGCCGTGCGCTCGAGGCCGGTGCTGGGGCCGGGCCGGGTCCGCCTCAGGCCCACACGCTGCACCCTGCTTGCAGATCCTCTGGTGCCAGTTCTTGAAGTTTAAGGAGACGGAGCTTCCAGCCAAGGAGGCGGACAAAAACCGGTCCAAGGGCATCTACCAGTCCCTGGAGGTAAGGCGCACCCCCAGGCGGTGCATTGGGCGTCTGGGAGGGCCCTGGGGAGGCAGGTCAGGTGGCTGTCCCAAACCCCAGGGCCGGCACCCTTCCCCGGTGTGGCCCGGCCTCTCCACTGAGCTTGGGCATGGGAGGGGGCGGCCCCTGGCTGGGCGGCAGGGCACTCAGTGTGGGCTCTGCTCACAGGGGCCGGTGCAGGCCGGCCAGCTCAAGGTACCGCCCGGCTACCACCCGCTGGATGTGGAGAAGGAGTGGGGCAAGCTCCACGTGGCCATCCTGGAGCGGGAGAAGCAGCTCCGGAGCGAGTTTGAGAGGTGGGTGGGGTGGAGGCTGTGGGCAGGCCCTGCGGGCTGGAGAGCCACCCCAGGATGAGTCACCGCCCCAGGAGGAAATTCCCCCCCAAGCTGGGAGAGCCCAGCTCCCCGCTTGCTCAGGGCCAGCAGCACAGTGGGCCGGGGCGGGCGGTGTGGCGGCCCGTGGCTCAGCACCGTCCCCTGGCACTCTGCGCTGCAGGTTGGAGTGTCTTCAGCGCATTGTGAGCAAACTGCAGATGGAGGCCGGGCTGTGCGAGGAGCAGTTGAACCAGGCCGACGCCCTGCTGCAGTCGGTGAGGGGGAGGGGTCAGGGAGGGGCAGGCTGGCCTCTCTTCTTCCACACCCCAGGATGCAGGGGAGTGGCAGCCTAGGGGGCCTATGGGCCAGCTGGTAGGACATGGGTGGCCCGGGAGGGAGGGAGGCCTGAGTACCCTGAGTGCCTCCCTCCTGGAGTGCTGCCAGCCCGGCCTCGGCTGCGGGCAGAGCTGGCCTCTGGGTATGACACAGGACTGGGCCTCCACCCCACCACCTCCCAAGCCGACTTCCCTGACAGCTCACTCTTGGGGGAAAGGAGGTGGGAGGGAGGCCCTAGACTTGCTGCCCGTCCAGATGGGGCAGGGCGGAGTTACGGGAGGGAAGAGTGGAGGATGAGGCCCAGGAAGGAGCCCCGCAGACAGGCCACGAAGGTCTCTACCCTTGAACCTGGCAGGGCTCCTTTGGATGGGATCCAGTTCTTCCAGAAAGTTAGCTGGTGTAGATTTTCTTAGAAGCATGCCGGAAAGATCTGTAGGGTCCACAGGGAAGGAGAGGAAAGGACAAGGCTCCAAAGGAGTCCCGGCTCTCAGTGGGGTCGTGGGGCTGCCCGCGCAGGGCAGGGCTCTGCCAAGCTCCCCAGTCACACACAACCACCCTCAGGACGTCAGGCTGCTGGCCTCAGGCAAGGCGCCACAGCGGGCTGGGGAGGTGGAGCGAGACTTGGACAAGGCTGACGGCATGATCCGGCTGCTGTTCAACGACGTGCAGACCCTCAAGGACGGCCGGCATCCGCAGGGAGAACAGATGTACCGCAGGTGGGGCCTGCCCTCCAGCACCCGCCCCCCACGCCCCTCCCCGGGCAGCCTGGGTCTGGCGCTGAGGGCTAGAGCTGCGTCCTCTGCCGTCCCAGGGTGTACCGTCTCCACGAGCGCCTGGTGGCCATCCGCACCGAGTACAACCTGCGGCTGAAGGCGGGTGTGGCCGCCCCCGTGACCCAGGTGACCCTGCAGAGCACGCAGCGGCGCCCGGAGCTGGACGATTCTGCCCTGCGCTACCTGCATGACCTGCTGGCCTGGGTGGAGGAGAACCAGTGCAGGGTGGACAGCGCCGAGTGGGGCGTGGACCTGCCCAGTGTGGAGGCCCAGTTGGGCAGCCACCGAGGCCTGCACCAGTCTACGGAGGAGTTCCGGGCCAAGATCGAGCGAGCCCGGAGCGATGAGGTGAGTGGCAGGGACCAGGAAGTGAGGCCGGGCGAGGCTCCTGCTGCTCCAGGCCTGACCCCTCCTCCCAGGCCTCACCCCTCCTCCCAGGCCTCACCCCTCCTCCTCCCAGGCCTCACCCCTCCTCCCAGGCCTCGCCCCTCCTCCCAGGCCTCACCCCTCCTCCCAGGCCTATCCTCCTCCCAGGCCTATCCTCCTCCCAGGCCTCACCCCTCCTCCAGGCCTCACCCCTCCTCCTCCCAGGCCTCACCCCTCCTCCCAGGCCTATCCTCCTCCCAGGCCTCACCCCTCCTCCAGGCCTCACCCCTCCTCCCAGGCCTCACCCCTCCTCCTCCCAGGCCTCACCCCTCCTCCCAGGCCTATCCTCCTCCAGGCCTCACCCCTCCTCCAGGCCTCACCCCTCCTCCCAGGCCTCACCCCTCCTCCTCCCAGGCCTCACCCCTCCTCCCAGGCCTCGCCCCTCCTCCCAGGCCTATCCTCCTCCCAGGCCTATCCTCCTCCCAGGCCTTACCCCTCCTCCAGGCCTCACCCCTCCTCCAGGCCTCACCCCTCCTCCCAGGCCTATCCTCCTCCAGGCCTCACCCCTCCTCCAGGCCTCACCCCTCCTCCCAGGCCTCACCCCTCCTCCAGGCCTCACCCCTCCTCCCAGGCCTCGCCCCTCCTTCAGGCCTCACCCCTCCTCCCAGGCCTCACCCCTCCTCCCAGGCCTCACCCCTCCTCCCAGGCCTCGCCCCTCCTCCAGGCCTCACCCCTCCTCCCAGGCCTCACCCCTCCTCCAGGCCTCACCCCTCCTCCCAGGCCTCACCCCTCCTCCAGGCCTCACTCCTCCTCCCAGGCCTCGCCCCTCCTCCAGGCCTCACCCCTCCTCCCAGGCCTATCCTCAGGCCTCCCCCTTCTTGTCTCTTGTAGGGCCAGCTCTCTCCCGCCACTCGGGGTGCCTACCGAGACTGCCTGGGCAGACTAGATCTGCAGTACGCAAAGCTTCTGGTGCGTGGGGTGGAGTGGGCGGGCGGTGGAGACATGGGGGAGGGAGGAGGCAGGCGTGCCACGGTCTGCAGCTGCTCCCTGCCTGCCCACAGAACTCGTCCAAGGCCCGCCTCCGGTCCCTGGAGAGCCTGCATGGCTTTGTGGCGGGTGCCACCAAGGAGCTGATGTGGCTCAGTGAGAAGGAGGAGGAGGAGGTGGGCTTCGACTGGAGTGACCGCAACTCCAACATGGCTGCCAAGAAGGAGAGCTACTCGGTGAGGCAGCCCAGCCTTCTAGAACCTTCTCCCCACTCCCCAGACCCCTCTGGGTGTCTGTGTAGTCTTCCACTGTGAGTGGGGGCCACCAGCTCCTGACACTGACTTCTTGCTCTGAGGTCTAGAGTAGGCTGTCTTTAGGGCTGTGCTGGCTAAGGGGGAGTTTGGCTGTGGCCCCCCCCCAAACCCAGGGATGGGCTTAGAGTGTCCAAGTGGGTGTCAGAGTCCCCTTAGCTGCCCTCTCAGGTTCTGCCCGGGCCCCACAGAGACGGTCTGGGACTTGGGTTGGGTGGGCCAGACTTCCTGTTGCTGCCCCTGGTCAGGCCCTGATGCGGGAGCTGGAGCTGAAGGAAAAGAAGATCAAGGAGATTCAGAGCACCGGGGACCGGCTGCTGCGGGACGACCACCCGGCCAGGCCCACGGTGGAGGTGAGCAGGGCGGGGCTGGGGGGCCCGGGGGCCCCTGGGTGGGGTAGGCCCCCGCTGAAGGAGCGCGTTCCCCCAGTCCTTCCAGGCGGCCCTGCAGACGCAGTGGAGCTGGATGCTGCAACTCTGCTGCTGTGTCGAGGCGCACCTGAAGGAGAACACGGCCTACTTCCAGGTGAGCACCCGCACACGCGCCCTGGTCGCTGCGATCCTGGGGTCTCCGCCACCCTTGCTTCAGGCCTGACCTCTTCGGTCTGCATGAGCGTGGCTTTCCTGGGAGTCGGGCCAGTCAGTGTGTGACCCGTTCTGCCACCTCAGTTCTTCTCAGATGTGCGGGAGGCGGAAGAGCAGCTGCGGAAGCTTCAGGAGACCTTGCGCAGGAAGTACAGCTGCGGCCGCTCCGTCACCGCCACGCGGCTGGAGGACCTGCTGCAGGACGCGCAGGTGAGGCCGGCTGGCCAGCGGGCCGCAGACCGCCCGGCGCTCGGGCAGGACTGGGCTGGGCGCTGGGGTGCGCCCTGGCCCTGCAGCCAGGTCACCTGCACGGGGGCCGCCCCAGCCAGGCCGCCAGCCCATCTAGGGTCTGAGGTCTAGAGTGGGCTCTGCCTTTAGGGCTGTAGAGGGCTGAGGGCAACTGGCTGTGGTCCCCACACCCCGGGGATGGGCTTGGGGCGTCCAGGCAGGCTGTAGTGCTGTGTGGGGCGTGAGGGGGAAGGGAGCAGAGGAGGTGGAGCTATGGTTGGCGTGGCTGCAGCTCTTGGTAAGGGTGGGCAGGTGGGAGAGGTGAGTGCAGGCCTGGCCTGAGCTTGGATGGCCTCCAGGGTTTGCCCCGCAGGGTGTCGGGAGGGGAGGCCAAGGGAGGAAAGGAGGGTGAGGACGCCACACCACGGGCCGAGTGTCACCAGGCCCAGCCTGGTGCTGGGGTCTGCCAGGGCTGAGCCCTGCAGCCTGCCTTCAGGTGTCCCCACCAGACCCCCAGAACTGATCCTGGGGTGCTGGCTGTACTGACCCTGAGCCGCCCTTCCCCCAGGAGGAGAGGGAGCAGCTGAATGAGTACAAGGGGCACCTGTCTGGCCTGGCCAAGCGGGCCAGGGCCGTGGTGCAGCTGAAGCCCCGCAGCCCCGCCCACCCTGTGCGGGGCCCTGTGCTCCTGCAGGCCGTGTGTGACTACAAGCAGGTGGAGGTGAGCGGGCCAGGAGCCTGGGGGGGACTGGGAGGGGCTGGGCGCGGTGTGACCACAGCCACGTCGTCTCCCCTTCCACTGTCCCAGGTGACCGTGCACAAGGGTGACCAGTACCAGCTGGTCGGCCCTGCACAACCAGCCCACTGGAAGGTGGTGGGCAGCTCTGGTGGCGAGGCTGCTGCCGTGCCCTCGGTGTGCTTCCTCGTGCCCCCGCCCAACCAGGAAGCCCAGGAGGCTGTCTCCAGGTTGGTAGCCAGGGGAGGGGTCTGTGGCTGGAGCGGGGTGGGAGAGGGCAGCGGGGGTGGGGGGGCGTCTGTGGGCAGCAGGCAGGGTCCCATACACCCCTGACTTTGGCTCTGACCTGCCAGGCTGGAGGCCCAGCACCAGGCCCTGGTCTCGCTGTGGCACCAGCTACACGTGGACATGAAGAGCCTCCTGGCCTGGCAGAGCCTCAGCCGTGACGTGCAGCTCATCCGCTCCTGGTCGCTGGTCACGGTACAGCTGGGCACTGGCTGGAGGCCCTGGGGAGGATGGCGGTGGAGGCTGTCCTGCAGGCCCACTGGCCCGGCCTGCGCTTAGCTCTCTGTACCACCCACCCTAGTTCCGAACGCTGAAGCCTGAGGAGCAGCGGCAGGCCCTGCGCAGCCTGGAGCTGCACTACCAGGCCTTCCTGAGGGACAGCCAGGATGCTGGGGGCTTCGGGCCGGAGGACCGGCTGGCGGCAGAGCGGGACTACAGCTCCTGCAGCCACCATTACCAGCAGCTCCTGCAGAGCCTGGAGCAGGGTATGCTGCGGGCAGGGCTGGAGGGCCGGGGGCGGGGCCGGGGCCGGGGCCGGGGCCGGGGCCGGGGCCGGGGCCGGGGCCGGGGCCGGGGCCGGGGCCGGGGCCGGGGCCGGGGCCGGGGCCGGGGCCGGGGCCGGGGCCGGGGCCGGGGCCGGGGCCGGGGCCGGGGCCGGGGCCGGGGCCGGGGCCGGGGCCGGGGCCGGGGCCGGGGCCGGGGCCGGGGCGGGGCCGGACACTGAGTTTCGGAGCCTGCCACAGGAGAGCAGGAGGAGAGCCGCTGTCAGCGCTGCATCTCGGAGCTCAAGGACATCCGGCTGCAGCTGGAGGCCTGTGAGACGCGTCTGGTACACCGCCTGCGGCTGCCACTGGACAAGGAACCCGCTCGGGAGTGTGCCCAGCGCATCGCCGAGCAGCAGGTAGACGCCAGCCCTGGGACCCGCACACCCCTTCCTCCCCAGCCGCCCAGGTGGTCAGCCGCCTCCTCTGTGTCTCTTCAGAAAACGCAGGCTGAGGTGGAGGGGCTGGGCCAGGGCGTCTCCCGGCTCTCGGCTGAAGCCGGTGAGGTCCTGGCCCTGCCCGAGCCCTCACCCGCTGCCCCCGTTCTACGCTCTGAGCTGGAGCTGACCCTGGGCAAGCTGGAGCAGGTCCGCAGCCTGTCAGCCATCTACCTGGAGAAGTGAGTGTCCTGTCTGTGTGCAAAGCGGCACAGGGCGCGGGTGCGGGGTTAGGTAACGTGGCCCAGAGCTGGTGGGTCTGACCCACCGAGCTGGAGTGGAGCTTTGTGACGGCGGTCCTGAAGATGCGGGAGCAGACGGGGGTCTCGGGGATGCAAGGGTGGCAGTGGGGAGCCGCCCTGTGAGGGGTGAGGGGAGAGCATGGGGGCAGGGGTGAGGAGTGAGGGGAGCGCATGGGGGCAGGGGTGAGGAGTGAGGGGAGAGCATGGGGGGCAGGGGTGAGGGGTGAGGGGAGAGCATGGGGCAGGGGTGAGGAGTGAGGGGAGAGCATGGGGGCAGGGGTGAGGGGGGAGCAGGGGGGCAGGGGTGAGGAGTGAGGGGAGAGCATGGGGGGCAGGGGTGAGGGGTGAAGGGAAAGCATGGGGGCAGGGGTGAGGGGTGAAGGTAGAGCATGGGGGCAGGGGTGAGGGGTGAAGGGAGAGCATGGGGGCAGGGGTGAGGGGAGAGCATGGGGCAGGGGTGAGGGGTGAAGGGAGAGCATGAGAGGAGGCAGGGGTGAGGGGAGAGCATGGGCAGGGGTGAGGAGTGGGAGAGCATGTGGTCAGTATGAGGAGGAGGGGAGAGCATGGGCAGGGGTGAGGAGGGGAGAGCATGGGGGCAGGGGTGAGGAGGGGAGAGCATGGGGGCAGGGGTGAGGAGGGGAGAGCATGGGGGCAAGGGTGAGGAGGGGAGAGCATGGGCAGGGGTGAGGAACGCCCCCGCCAGGCTGGCAGGCTCTGAGGGAGGGGTCTGCATGTGGAAGGCGTGGCACCATTCAGAATGGCTTCCTGGGAGGAGGAAGACCTGGAGGAGCGGGGTGAGAACCACCACTAAACGAGATGGAGGAGAGAGCGCTAAGCTCCTCCAGGACGTCTCCCTTCCGAGTTCTCAGTGATGACCTTAGCTTCCCTTTCAGAGACGACCCCTCTGCCTGCTCCGCTGCCCCCCACGGCCCCCGTTGTCCATCTCTCTGCCAGCCCCCCAGACCAGCCACCAACACCAGCCCCCTGCCCGCCCCCCACGCCCAGCCTCTCTGCCCCCTCTCCCCCACGCCCTGTAAGGCCTCTTCTGCTCTTGGCTATTTACTTCAGCCTTTTTCAATTCAGAGGCACGAAAGGCATTCAGAAGGATTTTTCCAGAAGCCCGCTAAGAGATCTCATTCCTGCCTGAAGTTCAGGTCCCAGCGTCGGTGTCTGTGTTGATTGTGTGCTGTACTGTGGGCAGTTCCCCTCGGGGACAGGCAAATCGCTTGGTGCACAGCGCCATTCCCACCTCAGGCCCTCAGCCTCAGCTGAGGACGCGCTATGCACGCTGCCATCTGCCTCAGGACTTTGGAACCTGCTGCTTCTGCCAGAGAACTCTCCCTTTGGGTCTAAAGGATGGGTCTTTATGTTCATTTTCTGGTGCTCGCGTTTGAGCTCAGGGCTTCTCATTTGTGTTTAGCATTTAGTTCAAGTCTGGAGCCATAATTGTACTTCCCACTTTTTAAAATTGAGAGGTGAACTTCTCTCAGATTTTTCTGCCAGGGCTGGCTTGAACGGAGATCTTCAGATCTTGGTCTCCCAAGTAGTTAGGGTTTCGGGTTTGAGCTGCTGGCGCCTGGCGGCAGGCTGGGTCTGAGACCCCGAACACCGGAAGCTGGTGGCCGCGCCCACCAGGGTCACCAGAACACTCAGGCCAGGGCTTGTCTGGCTTGGACCCTCCAGCCCTTGCGCTCACGGTGCCCTGCCCCCTCCCCCAGGCTGAAGACCATCAGCCTGGTGATCCGCAGCACGGAGGGCGCGGAGGAGGTGCTCAGACGACACGAGGAGCAGCTCAAGGAGGCCCAGGCCGTGCCCGCCACCCTTCCGGAGCTGGACGCCACCAAGGCCTCCCTGAAGGTACGGTAGCGGGTTGCAGGCCTCCTGGGGCGAGGACGGTCGGAGCCCAGCTCGACGGCGCCCGCCTTGTGCCCCACAGAAGCTGCGTGCACAGGCCGAGGCTCAGCAGCCCGTGTTTGACGCGCTGAGGGAGGAGCTGCGGGGCGCGCAGGCGGTGGGGGAGCGGCTGCAGCAGCGGCACGGCGAGCGGGACGTGGAGGTGGAGCGCTGGCGGGAGCGGGTTGCCCAGCTGCTGGAGCGCTGGCAGGCCGTGCTGGCCCAGAACGACCTGCGGCAACGCGAGCTGGAGCAGCTGGGCCGCCAGCTGCGCTACTACCGCGAGAGCGCCGAGCCCCTGAGTGCCTGGCTGCGGGACGCCAAGCAGCGGCAGGAGCAGATCCAGGCTGTGCCCATGGCCCACAGCCAGGCCGCGCGGGAGCAGCTGCGGCAGGAGAAGGTGGGCCTGGGCGGGGGACGGGGTGGGGGGGCGGGGGGGGGCAGGTGCCCGGGACCGCTGGTGCTGACCACTCTGCCCTCTCAGGCCCTGCTGGAGGAGATTGAGCGCTACGGAGAGAAGGTCGAGGAGTGCCAGAGGTTCGCCAAGCAGTACATCAACGCCATCAAGGTGAGGCCATGTCGCAGGCCACGCTGTCCGGCCTGGGGCCTGGGACTCGGGGGAGGCCCGTCAGGGTGCAGGGAAGTTAGGCACAGGCAATCGGGGCAGCACCTGCACTGTGTTCTTACAGGACTATGAGCTCCAGCTGGTCACATACAAGGCGCAGCTTGAGCCGGTGGCCTCTCCAGCCAAGAAGCCCAAGGTCCAGTCGGGGTCGGAGAACATCATCCAAGAGGTAGGCCGGGGTGGCCGAGCGCAGCAGGCTGAGGCGGGCTGTGGGGGCTGCTGTGCAGGGCTGACCATGCCTCCCCCGCAGTACGTGGACCTGCGCACACGCTACAGCGAGCTGACCACCCTGACGAGCCAGTATATCAAGTTCATCAGCGAGACCCTGCGCCGCATGGAGGAGGAGGAGGTAGGGTTGGCGGTGTGGCGGGGGGTGCCCTCCTGTCGTACCCCACAGGCATTACCATGGCAACCTGAGGTCGCCCACTGTGCGCCACAGCTGCCCGGCCGGCCTTGGCTGGGCCGCACCTGGGCCTGGCACGGCGCTGCGCTCCCCACGGCGCCGGGCCTCCTCTCTCTCAATGGCAACTGTCCCCACCCGCATCCTCTCGCTCGTGCGTGTCCTTCTGGGGGATTCTGGTTGGTTCCGCTCTGCCCTTTGGTCTGGGAGAGTTGGGAGGCTGGGAAGGAACATCTGAGGTGCCTCTGCCAAGCAGGGTGCCAGCCGTCCATTCTGCTGCCTCCACTGCTCAGGTCTGCCGGCTTCTGATTTCCTCCTCTGAGCTGGCGCAGGTCCGCGTTCTCCCCGCTCTGACTGCCTCACCTGCCCACCCCACGTGGCTTTGAAAATGGCCCCTTATTGGGGAGAGGGGCCTTGGGGCGGGAAGCCAGCCCACCGGGGTGGGCAGAGCGCAGGCAGGACTGCGGTCAGCAGCTTGCAGGCCCTGCCACCTTCTGCTTTGCTCTCTCTTCCTGTCTGTCTCCGTCGCCTGTCTGCGGGAAGAGGGGAGGATGCCTGGGCCTCCTTCCCCGGGCTGGTGAGCACGGTGCGGCCGGCGGTGCTTGCTGAGTGCCCTGGGTGGGTGCACGCGGTCTCCCTGCTGGGCTGGACCTCTGTCTTCCCTGCCCCCTGCCCCGCGCTGTCTGCGGGAACTGTGGTGGCGCCGTGTCCTGTGCGCGCCCGCCGCCCACCCCACACTCACACTCTCTCTGGTTCTCTTCCTCTCCGCCGCGGCCACAGAGGCTGGCTGAGCAACAGCGGGCAGAGGAGCGGGAGCGGCTGGCCGAGGTGGAGGCCGCGTTGGAGAAGCAGCGGCAGTTGGCCGAGGCTCACGCCCAGGCCAAGGCCCAGGCGGAGCGGGAGGCACAGGAGCTGCAGCGGCGCATGCAGGAGGAGGTAGCCCGCCGGGAGGAGGCGGCCGTGGATGCCCAGCAGCAGAAGCGCAGCATCCAGGAGGAGCTGCAGCACCTGCGGCAGAGCTCAGAGGCCGAGATCCAAGCCAAGGCCCAACAGGTGGAAGCGGCCGAGCGGAGCCGGCTGCGCGTGGAGGAGGAGATCCGCGTGGTGCGCCTGCAGCTGGAGAGCACCGAGCGCCAGCGTGGCGGGGCGGAGGGGGAGCTGCAGGCGCTGCGTGTGCGCGCGGAGGAGGCCGAGGCCCAGAAGCGGCAGGCCCAGGAGGAGGCCGAGCGCCTGCGGAGGCAGGTGCAGGAGGAGAGCCAGCGCAAGCGGCAGGCGGAGGCGGAGCTGGCCATGCGCGTGAAGGCCGAGGCCGAGGCCGCCCGGGAGAAGCAGCGGGCCCTGCAGGCGCTGGAAGAGCTGAAGCTGCAGGCGGAGGAGGCGGAGCGGCAGCTGCGGCAGGCTGAGGCGGAGCGGGCCCGCCAGGTGCAGGTGGCCCAGGAGACGGCTCAGCGCAGCATGGAGGTGGAGCTGCAGAGCAAGCGCGCCTCGTTTGCCGAGAAGACGGCGCAGCTGGAGCGCACGCTGCAGGAGGAGCACGTGGCGGTGGCACAGCTGCGAGAGGAGGCAGAGCGCCGGGCGCAGCAGCAGGCCGCGGCGGAGCGGGCCCGGGAGGAGGCAGAGCGGGAGCTGGAGCGCTGGCAGCTGAAGGCCAACGAGGCACTGCGGCTGCGGCTGCAGGCGGAGGAGGTGGCGCAGCAGAAGAGCTTGGCCCAAGCCGAGGCGGAGAAGCAGAAGGAGGAGGCGGAGCGTGAGGCCCGGCGGCGCGGCAAGGCGGAAGAGCAGGCCGTGCGGCAGCGGGAGCTGGCCGAGCAGGAGCTGGAGAAGCAGCGCCAGCTGGCAGAGGGCACCGCGCAGCAGCGCCTGGCGGCTGAGCAGGAGCTGATCCGCCTGCGGGCCGAGACGGAGCAGGGCGAGCAGCAGCGGCAGCTGCTGGAGGAGGAGCTGGCCCGGCTGCAGCGCGAGGCTGCGGCCGCCACCCAGAAGCGCCAGGAGCTGGAGGCCGAGCTGGCCAAGGTCCGGGCGGAGATGGAGGTGCTGCTGGCCAGCAAGGCGAGGGCAGAGGAGGAGTCTCGTTCCAGCAGTGAGAAGTCCAAGCAGAGGCTGGAGGCCGAGGCCGGCCGGTTCCGGGAGCTCGCGGAGGAGGCCGCCCGCCTGCGTGCGCTGGCCGAGGAGGCCAAGCGGCAGCGGCAGCTGGCCGAGGAGGATGCGGCGCGGCAGCGGGCCGAGGCGGAGCGCGTGCTGGCCGAGAAGCTGGCTGCCATCGGGGAGGCCACGCGGCTCAAGACAGAGGCCGAGATCGCGCTCAAAGAGAAGGAGGCGGAGAACGAGCGTCTGAGGCGCCTGGCGGAGGACGAGGCCTTCCAGCGGCGGCGGCTGGAGGAGCAGGCTGCCCAGCACAAGGCGGACATCGAGGAGCGCCTGGCCCAGCTGCGCAAGGCGTCAGAGAGCGAGCTGGAGCGGCAGAAGGGGCTGGTGGAAGACACGCTGCGGCAGCGGCGGCAGGTGGAGGAGGAGATCCTGGCGCTGAAGGTGAGCTTCGAGAAGGCAGCTGCCGGCAAGGCGGAGCTGGAGCTGGAGCTGGGGCGCATTCGCAGCAACGCTGAGGACACACTGCGCAGCAAGGAGCAGGCAGAGGTGGAGGCTGCGCGGCAGCGGCAGCTGGCAGCCGAGGAGGAGCAGCGGCGCCGGGAGGCGGAGGAGCGTGTGCAGAAAAGCCTGGCTGCCGAGGAAGAGGCCGGGCGCCAGCGCAAGGCCGCCCTGGAGGAAGTGGACCGGCTCAAGGCCAAGGTCGAAGAGGCGCGGCGCCTGCGGGAGCGCGCGGAGCAGGAGTCGGCCCGGCAGCTGCAGCTGGCCCAGGAAGCTGCCCAGAAGCGGCTGCAGGCCGAGGAGAAGGCACATGCCTTTGTTGTGCAGCAGCGGGAGCAGGAGCTGCAGCAGACCCTGCAGCAGGAGCAGAGCATGCTGGAGCGCCTACGTGGGGAGGCCGAGGCAGCCCGGCGCGCCGCCGAGGAGGCCGAGGAGGCCCGGGAGCAGGCGGAGCGGGAGGCCGCGCAGTCCCGGCGGCAGGTGGAGGAGGCCGAGCGGCTGAAGCAGGCGGCGGAGGAGGAGGCGCAGGCGCGGGCGCAGGCCCAGGCGGCCGCGGAGAAGCTGCGTAAGGAAGCGGAGCAGGAGGCGGCACGGCGGGCGCAGGCGGAGCAGGCGGCCCTGCGGCAGAAGCAGGCCGCGGATGCGGAGATGGAGAAACACAAGAAGTTTGCGGAGCAGACTCTGCGGCAGAAGGCGCAGGTGGAGCAGGAACTGACCGCCCTGAGGCTGCAGCTGGAGGAGACCGACCACCAGAAGGCCATCCTGGACGAGGAGCTGCAGCGGCTGAAGGCTGAGGTCACGGAGGCGGCGCGCCAGCGCGGCCAGGTGGAAGAGGAGCTCTTCTCTGTGCGCGTGCAGATGGAGGAGCTGGGCAAGCTGAAGGCCCGCATTGAGGCCGAGAACCGCGCGCTCATCCTGCGCGACAAAGACAACACACAGCGCTTCCTGGAGGAAGAGGCGGAGAAGATGAAGCAGGTGGCCGAGGAGGCCGCACGGCTGAGTGTGGCGGCCCAGGAGGCTGCGCGGCTGCGGCAGCTGGCCGAGGAGGACCTGGCGCAGCAGCGGGCCCTGGCGGAGAAGATGCTCAAGGAGAAGATGCAGGCGGTGCAGGAGGCCACACGGCTGAAGGCAGAGGCAGAGCTGCTGCAGCAGCAGAAGGAGCTGGCGCAGGAGCAGGCGCGGAGGCTGCAGGAGGACAAGGAGCAGATGGCACAGCAGCTGGAGCAGGAGACTCAGGGCTTCCAGCGGACGCTGGAGGCGGAGCGGCAGCGGCAGCTGGAGATGAGCGCCGAGGCCGAGCGCCTGAAGCTGCGCGTGGCGGAAATGAGCCGGGCCCAGGCCCGGGCCGAAGAGGAGGCCCAGCGCTTCCGGAAGCAGGCGGAGGAGATCGGGGAGAAGCTGCACCGCACGGAGCTCGCCACGCAGGAGAAGGTGACGCTGGTGCAGACGCTGGAGATCCAGCGGCAGCAGAGTGACCAGGATGCCGAGCGCCTCCGGGAGGCCATCGCGGAGCTGGAGCGTGAGAAGGACAAGCTCAAGCAGGAGGCTAGGTTGCTGCAGCTCAAGTCCGAGGAGGTACCTTCCGTCCTCACGGGGGCCGGGCCGGGCGGGGCACCCTCGGGTGGTGAGGCGGGCTCTCCCGGACTCTCCTCCCCTCTGACTGCTCTCCTCCTCCACCTCCACTAGATGCAGATGGTGCAGCAGGAGCAGATGGTGCAGGAGACGCAGGCCCTGCAGCAGAGCTTCCTCTCGGAGAAGGACAGCCTGCTGCAGCGGGAGCACTTCATCGAGCAGGAGAAGGCCAAACTGGAGCAGCTTTTCCAGGACGAGGTGGCCAAGGCCCAGAAGCTGCGTGAGGAGCAGCAGCGGCAGCAGCAGCAGATGGAGCAGGAGAAGCAGCAGCTGGTGGCCAGCATGGAGGAGGCCCGGCGGCGGCAGCGTGAGGCGGAGGAGGGCGTGCGGCGTAAGCAGGAGGAGCTGCAGCGCCTGGAGCAGCAGCGGGAGCAGCAGGAGAAGCTGCTGGCGGAGGAGAACCGAAGGCTGCGGGAGCGGCTGCAGCGCCTGGAGGAAGCGCACCAAGCTGCCCTGGCTCACTCAGAGGAGGTGGCCGCCGTGAAGGTCCTGCCTAACGGCCGGGATGCGCCTGACGGCCCGGCCGCGGAGGCCCAGCCACAGCACAGCTTCGAGGGCCTGCGGCAGAGGGTGGCAGCCCAGCGGCTGCAGGAAGCGGGCGTGCTGAGTGCAGAGGAACTGCGGCGGCTGGCGGAGGGCCGCACCACGGTGGACGAGCTCTCGCGCCGGGCGGATGTGCGCCAGTACCTGCAGGGCAGCAGCAGCGTCGCAGGGTTGCTGCTGAAGCCTGCCAACGAGAAGCTGAGCATCTACACCGCCCTGCAGAGGCGGCTGCTGAGCCCGGGCACCGCCCTCATCCTGCTCGAGGCCCAGGCTGCATCAGGCTTCCTGCTGGACCCGGTGCGGAACCGGCGGCTGACGGTGAACGAGGCGGTGAAGGAGGGCGTCGTGGGCCCGGAGCTGCACCACAAGCTGCTGTCGGCCGAGCGCGCGGTCACCGGCTACACCGACCCCTACTCCGGGGAGCGGATCTCCCTCTTCCAGGCCATGCAGAAGGACCTCATCGTCCGGGACCACGGCATCCGCCTGCTGGAGGCCCAGATCGCCACGGGCGGCATCATCGACCCGGTGCACAGCCACCGCCTGCCCGTGGACGTGGCCTACCAGCGCGGCTACTTTGACGAGGAGATGAGCCGCATCCTGGAGGACCCGAGCGACGACACCAAGGGCTTCTTCGACCCCAACACGCACGAGAACCTGACCTACAGGCAGCTGCTGGAGCGCTGCGAGGAGGACCCGGAGACCGGGCTGCGGCTGCTGCCGCTCACCGACAAGGCCGCCAAGGGCCGTGAGCTGGTTTACACGGATGCGGAGGCCCGGGACGTGTTCGAGAAGGCCACTGTCTCCGCGCCATTCGGCAAGTTCCAGGGCAAGCCGGTGACCATCTGGGAGATCATCAACTCGGAGTACTTCACAGCCGAGCAGCGGCGGGATCTGCTGCGGCAGTTCCGCACGGGCCGCATCACGGTGGAGAAGATCATCAAGATCGTCATCACCGTGGTGGAGGAGCAGGAGCGCAAGGGCCAGCTCTGCTTTGAGGGCCTGCGCACCCTCGTGCCTGCCGCAGAGCTGCTGGACAGCAAGGTCATCGACCGCGAGCTCTACCAGCAGTTGCAGCGAGGCGAGCGCTCGGTACGGGAGGCGGCCGAGGTGGACGCAGTGCGCCGGGCCCTGCGGGGCGCCAACGTGATTGCAGGGCTGTGGCTGGAGGAGGCGGCGCAGAGGCTGAGCATCTACGAGGCCTTGAAGAAAGACTTGCTTCCGCCAGAGGCGGCCGTGGCCTTGCTGGAGGCCCAGGCTGGCACAGGCCATGTCATCGACCCCGCCACGAGCGCCCGGCTGACGGTGGATGAGGCCGTCCGCGCCGGCCTGGTGGGCCCGGAGCTGCACGAGAAGCTGCTGTCGGCCGAGAAGGCTGTGACAGGCTACCGGGACCCCTACTCGGCACAGAGCGTCTCCTTGTTCCAGGCCCTCAAGAAAGGCCTCATTCCCCGGGAGCAGGGCCTGCGCCTGCTGGAGGCCCAGCTGTGCACAGGGGGCATCATAGACCCCAGCAAGAGCCACCGTGTGCCTCTGGAGGTCGCCTACGCCCGGGGTTACCTGGACGAGGAGACCAGCGGGGCCCTGTCGGCACCCGCGGACGAGGCCAAGCTCTACCTAGACCCCACCACGCGGGAGCCGGTTACCTATGGCCAGCTCCAGCAGCGGTGCCGGCCCGACCAGCTGACTGGACTGAGCCTGCTGCCTGTGTCAGAGAAGGCGGCCCGGGCCCACCTGGAGGAGGTCTATTCGGAGCTGCAGGCCCGAGAGAGCTTCGAGAAGGCCACAGTCGAGGTCCCCGTGGGCAGCCTGCAGGGCAGGACCGTGAGTGTGTGGGAGCTGATCCGCTCCGAGTACTTCACCGAGGAGCAGCGCCAGGAGCTGCTGCGGCAGTTCCGCACAGGCAAGGTCACCGTGGAGAAGGTCATCAAGATCCTCATCACCATCGTAGAGGAGGTGGAGACCCGGCGGCAGGAAGGGCTCACGTTCAGCGGCCTCCGCGCCCCGGTGCCCGCCAGCCAGCTCCTGGCCGCCGGCGTCCTCAGCAGGGCCCAGTTTGAGCAGCTCAAGGACGGCAAGACTTCGGTCAGAGATCTCTCAGAGGTGGGCTCTGTGCGCACGCTGCTGCAGGGCAGCGGCTGTCTGGCCGGCATCTACCTGGAGGACTCTGGAGAGAAGGTGAGCGTCTACGAGGCCATGCGCCGGGGCCTGCTCCGGCCCAGCACAGGCACGCTCCTGCTGGAGGCCCAGGCGGCCACGGGTTTTCTGGTGGACCCCGTGCGCAATCAGCGCCTGTACGTCCACGAAGCTGTAAAGGCGGGCGTCGTGGGCCCCGAGCTGCACGAGAAGCTGCTGTCGGCAGAGAAGGCAGTCACCGGCTACAAGGACCCCTACTCGGGCTCCACCATCTCGCTCTTCCAGGCCATGAAGAAGGGCCTCGTTCTGAGGGACCATGGCATCCGCCTGCTGGAGGCCCAGATTGCCACGGGCGGCATCATCGACCCGGTGCACAGCCACCGCCTGCCCGTGGACGTGGCCTACCAGCGCGGCTACTTCAATGAGGAGATGAGCCGCGTCCTGGAGGACCCAAGCGACGACACCAAGGGCTTCTTCGACCCCAACACGCACGAGAACCTGACCTACAGGCAGCTGCTGGAGCGCTGCGTGGAGGACCCGGAGACTGGGCTGCGGCTGCTGCCGCTGAAGGCTGCAGAGAAGGCAGAGGTGGTGGAGACCACGCAGGTGTACACAGAGGAGGAGACCCGCAAGGCCTTCCAGGAGACGCAGATCGACATCCCCGCCGGGGGCAGCCGGGGCGGCTCCACCATGTCCCTGTGGGAGGTGATGCAGTCAGACCTGATCCCCGAGGAACAGCGGGAACGCCTGATGGCTGACTTCCAGGCCGGCCGCGTGACGAAGGAGCGCATGATCATCATCATCATCGAGATCATCGAGAAGACCGAGATCATCCGGCAGCAGAGCCGCTCCTCCTATGACTACGTGCGGCGCCGCCTCACCGCCGAGGACCTTCACGAGGCCCGCATCATCTCCCTCGAGGCCTACAACCTGCTCCGCGAGGGCGCCCGGAGCCTGCACGAGGTCCTGGAGGCAGAGTCTGCCTGGCGCTTCCTCTACGGCACGGGCTCGGTGGCTGGCGTGTACCTGCCCGGCTCGAGGCAGGCACTGACCATCTACCAGGCGCTGAGGAAGGGGCTGCTGAGCGTGGAGGTGGCTCGCTTGCTTCTGGAGGCCCAGGCGGCCACGGGCTTCCTGCTGGATCCGGTGAAGGGCGAGCGGCTGACGGTGGATGAGGCCGTGCGGAAGGGGCTGGTGGGACCCGAGCTGCACGACCGCCTGCTGTCCGCGGAGCGGGCCGTCACCGGCTACCGCGACCCCTACACCGAGCAGACCATCTCGCTCTTCCAGGCCATGAAGAAGGAGCTGATCCCCGCCGAGGAGGCCCTGCGGCTGCTGGACGCCCAGCTGGCCACCGGGGGCATCGTGGACCCTCGCCTGGGTTTCCACCTCCCCCTGGAGGTGGCCTACCAGCGCGGCTACATCAACAAGGACACGCACGAGCAGCTGTCGGAGCCCAGCGAGGTGCGTGGCTACGTGGACCCCTCCACGGACGAGCGCCTCAGCTACACGCAGCTGCTCCGGCGCTGCCACCGCCACGAGCAGAGCGGCCAGATGCTCCTGCCGCTGTCGGCCTCGCGGAAGCTGACCTTCCGCGGCCTCCGCAAGCAGATCACGGTGGAGGAGCTGGTGCGCTCCCAGGTCCTGGATGAAGCCACGGCGCTGCAGCTGCAGGAGGGCCTGACCTCCGTCGAGGAGGTCACCAAGAACCTTCAGAAGTTCCTTGAGGGCACCAGCTGCATCGCGGGCGTCTTCGTGGATGCCACCAAAGAGCGGCTGTCCGTGTACCAGGCCATGAAGAAGGGCATCATCCGCCCGGGCACGGCCTTCGAGCTCCTGGAGGCCCAGGCGGCCACAGGCTACGTCATCGACCCCATCAAAGGACTCAAGCTGACCGTGGAGGAGGCCGTGCGCATGGGCATCGTGGGCCCTGAGTTCAAGGACAAGCTGCTGTCCGCAGAGCGCGCCGTCACCGGCTACAAGGACCCTTACTCGGGGAAGCTCATCTCCCTGTTCCAGGCCATGAAGAAGGGCCTCATCCTGAAAGACCACGGCATCCGCCTGCTGGAGGCCCAGATCGCCACGGGCGGCATCATCGACCCCGAGGAGAGCCACCGGCTGCCCGTGGAGGTGGCCTACAAGCGGGGCCTGTTCGACGAGGAGATGAATGAGATCCTGACGGACCCCTCGGACGACACCAAGGGCTTCTTCGACCCCAACACGGAGGAGAACCTGACCTACCTGCAGCTCATGGAGCGCTGCGTCACCGACCCGCAGACCGGCCTGTGCCTGCTGCCGCTGAAGGAGAGGAAGCGGGAGCGGAAGACGTCCTCCAAGTCGTCGGTGCGCAAGCGGCGCGTGGTGATCGTGGACCCCGAGACGGGCAAGGAGATGTCGGTGTACGAGGCCTACCGCAAGGGCCTCATCGACAACCAGACGTACCTGGAGCTGTCGGAGCAAGAGTGCGAGTGGGAGGAGATCACCATCTCCTCCTCGGACGGCGTCGTCAAGTCTATGATCATCGACCGCCGCTCCGGCCGCCAGTATGACATCGACGACGCCATCACCAAGAACCTCATCGACCGCTCGGCGCTTGACCAGTATCGGGCCGGCACGCTCTCCATCACCGAGTTTGCCGACATGTTGTCCGGCAATGCCGGCGGATTCCGCTCCCGCTCCTCCTCCGTGGGTTCGTCCTCTTCCTACCCCATCAGCCCCGCCGCCTCCAGGACCCAGCTGGCCTCCTGGTCAGACCCCACCGAGGAGACGGGCCCGGTGGCCGGCATCCTCGACACGGAGACGCTGGAGAAAGTGTCCATCACCGAGGCCATGCACCGCAGCCTGGTGGACAACATCACCGGGCAGCGGCTGCTGGAGGCCCAGGCCTGCACCGGGGGCATCATCGACCCCAGCACCGGGGAGCGCTTCCCCGTCACCGAGGCGCTCAACAAGGGTCTGGTGGACAGGGTCATGGTGGACCGCATCAACCTGGCCCAGAAGGCCTTCTGCGGCTTCGAGGACCCACGCACCAAGAACAAGATGTCGGCCGCCCAGGCCCTGAAGAAGGGCTGGCTGTATTACGAGGCGGGCCAGCGGTTCCTGGAGGTGCAGTACCTGACGGGGGGCCTGATCGAGCCCGACACGCCGGGCCGAGTGTCTCTCGACGAGGCCCTGCAGCGCGGCACTGTGGATGCCCGCACAGCTCAGAAGCTGCGTGACGTCGGCGCGTACTCCAAGTACCTCACCTGCCCCAAGACCAAGCTCAGGATCTCCTACAAGGACGCGCTGGACCGCAGCATGGTGGAAGAGGGGACCGGGCTGCGGCTGCTCGAGGCTGCTGCCCAGTCCAGCAAGGGCTACTACAGCCCCTACAGCGTCAGCGGCTCCGGCTCCGCGGCCGGCTCTCGGGCCGGCTCGCGCACCGGCTCGCGGGCCGGCTCCCGCCGAGGCAGCTTTGATGCCACCGGCTCCGGCTTCTCCATGACTTTCTCGTCTTCCTCCTACTCTTCCTCGGGCTATGGCCGGCGCTATGCCTCAGGGTCCTCCACTTCTCTGGGGGGCCCAGAGTCTGCAGTGGCCTGACCCCCTGCCTGCACCCCACTTCCCGCTCTGCATGTGGCCAGGCTCCCTGCCGGGGCGCTGGGGTCTTCCTCTAACGTGTGCAGCTGTGTTCCTCCCAAGCGGTGCCTAAAGTGTAACCAAAAAGACCAGACTAACATGTAGTACACACGCGCGCTGCCCAGGCAGCCGTGTGCTGGGAGACGGGTTGGCCCGGCCCACTGACCACCCCTGCCTCCTTGGGACTTCTCGTTCCTTCTACCTGCCACTCACCACAGCCAGGTGCCTTGCGGGGGTCCAGAGCCGGCTCCCAGCCTGCCCCTCCTGTCTCCCTGGAGAACGTTCTGTGTGTGCAAGCCTCTCGGCCCCATACACCCATCACACTGGACACCTCGCCGCCATCCCTCGCTGTGAGGGTCAGGCCTGGTCCTTGCTCCGCTCAGGTTCTCTCCCGGCCTAGCCTCTGCTCCCCAGCTTTGTTCCTGGCCTGGCCTGCTCGCTCAGTGGCTCTTTCTGGGGAGAGAAGGTCCTGGACCGGCCATCGCTCCCAGACTGCCCAGAGAAGCTGCTTCCCCGTGGGAGTGGAGGCCCACCCCAGCCTCCTTCCTGGCTTCTGCCGCTGCTGCTGCGCATCCTTGCTCAGTGCCCCCGCACCCACTCTCAGACCCCAGCCCCGGCTTTCGCCGCCAGTCTCTGCTCTCCTTGTAAGTGCCTTCTGTGTCCTCCCTTGTGCCCAGCCCCGAGCCCTGGCCTGCGTGACAGTCCGGTGTTCGGGCTGGGCAGGGCTGGGGCTCTGGAGATCTCACCTTCCCCCAGGGCTCCAGTGGCCTTGGAGCCTGGGTGCTGCCGGCCGCCCTGCCCCTGGGGACCCCAGCCTGCCTGTGGCTCAGGGACGGAGCCGTCTGTGCGTGCTCGGCAGGCAGTGGGCCCACGCCTGGTCCGGCCGCCCCCTGGCTTTGAGGCTAGCCCTGCCCCCACTCTCTGAGCGAGCTTTGCATGTTCCACTAACCCAGCTGGTGCCGGCGGGCGCCCGGCCAAACACTAACCTGACCACGGCGGAGCCTTGCCGCGCCCGCCCTCAATAAAAGCAATTCCAACCTTCGCCCAGGTCTCGCCTTATTCTTGAGTCTGGCTGAGCCGTGGTGGCGCAGGGTGGAAACGCCGAGCTCAGCCACTGTGTCTTGGTTGGGATGGAGGCCTAGGCCCTGTGCTAGGGCTGGCAACCATGGGCGAGAAACTCAGGCCATGGCTGGAGAGCAGACGGCCACTCTGGACAGCAGCTTGGTGGGGGGAAGGGCGGGCCATGGCGTCCAGATGACGCCAGGCCGCGGCTTTGCCTGTGACAGCCCGGCGCAGGGCTGGCACTGGAGGCTGCTCTGCAAGCCCTGCCTCTGTCTGCCTGCCTCCTGCGGTGACAGCATGCATGGCAGTGTGCTGCTCACCCCCTCAGGCCAGGCCTGCAGCCCAAGGCCTGGCTTTGGGAAGATGCTCGGGGGCTGGGCGTCGGCAGGGACTGTGTGACTTGCAGGTCCTCACATGGCCACAGCTGGCAGTGTGTTCCGGAAACCCCACCCACAGGCATGAGGTGACAGGACACACACTGCACTCCACCTGAGCGAGGGCATTTACAGACGCAGGGGGTGCCAGGGCGGTCTGAGGAATGCATGTGGGAAGAGAGGACGGAGTCAACACCCGTGACAGGACACTGCTACAGTCAACAAACCTTGTAGCCAGCACCCGCTGCAGTCAGGACAACACTGCAGTCAGGACAACACTGCAGTCAGCACACACTGCAGTCAACACACACTGCAGTCAGCACACACTGCAGTCAGGACAACACTGCAGTCAACACACACTGCAGTCAGCACCCACTGCAGTCAGGACACACTGCAGTCAGCACACACTGCAGTCAGCACACACTGCAGTCAACACACTGCAGTCAGCATACGCTGCGGTCAACACACACTGCGGTCAGCACCCGCTGCAGTCAGCACACGCTGCAGTCAGCACACACTTCAGTCAGCACCCACTGCAGTCAGCACACGCTGCAGTCAGCACACTGCAGTCAACACCCACTGCAGTCAGCACACACTGCAGTCAGGACAACACTGCAGTCAACACCCACTGCAGTCAGCACACACTGCAGTCAACACACTGCAGTCAGCACACACTGCAGTCAGCACACACTGCAGTCAGCACACACTGCAGTCAGCACACACTGCAGTCAGGACAACACTGCAGTCAACACACACTGCAGTCAGCACACACTGCAGTCAACACACTGCAGTCAACACACACTGCAGTCAGCACACACTGCAGTCAGGACAACACTGCAGTCAGCACACACTGCAGTCAGCACACACTGCAGTCAGCATACGCTGCGGTCAACACACGCTGCAGTCAGCACACGCTGCAGTCAGCACACACTGCAGTCAGCACACACTGCAGTCAGCACACTGCAGTCAACACACTGCAGTCAGCACACACTGCAGTCAGCACACACTGCAGTCAACACTGCAGTGAACACACTGCAGTCAGCATACACTGCGGTCAACACACGCTGCGGTCAGCACATGCTGCGGTCAGCACACGCTGCAGTCAGCACACTGCAGTCAGCACACACTGCAGTCAGGACACACTGCAGTCAGGACACACTGCAGTCAGGACACACTGCAGTCAGGACACACTGCAGTCAGCACACTGCAGTCAGCATACACTGCGGTCAACACGCTGCGGTCAGCACACGCTGCGGTCAGCACACGCTGCGGTCAGCACACGCTGCAGTCAGCACACACTGCAGTCAGCACACACTGCAGTCAGCACCCACTCTTGGCTGGAGGGGCTCACTGAAGTCCTTTTCTACAAAGTCAACAGAATCTCATTCACAAGATTAAGTCCCTGTAGAATTTCGGACTTAATTCAGATATTCAGACTGGCTTTGGTGTGGTGCCCCAGAATCCTCTCGGGAGGCCTTCCTTCCAAACAAGGCCTGACAGGGTTCTTGGAGCGACAACCATGCTTTCAAATCCGATCAGGGAATCCAAAATGATAACACAGTAGGGTCCAAGCATCATGAGTACGAATAAACAAAAGCAGAACCAGGACCCGAAGGAGTTCCAAAATAAAGCAGAAAAACCCAAGAAGAGAGAGGAAGTAATGTCCTAAGCCTAGCCGTGAAACAGTGACATCCTAAGACCCGTGAGGCAGGGTGTGGATTCCAGGCCAGATCCGGCTCCACGGCCCCTCAGAAAACCAGAGTCCTGAAGAATGAGTGGATCAGAAGAATCCGTTCTGAATCCACCCAGAAAGACACGCAAAAAGGGAGGAGGCAGGAAGAGGGGCCCAGGCCCACAGACACACCTGTCCTCAGTGCTCTCTGGAGGCTGAGACGTGGGAGCATGGTCTGGAGCCAGCCCAGGCAGAAAGTCTTTGAGACTCTTCAGCTAACCAACAAAAAGCCAGAAGGAGCTGCGGCTCAAGTGGTAAAGCGCCAGCCTTAAGTGAAAAGCTAAGGGACAGCACATACGCAAAGTCTAACTGGTGTTCTAGCCAAAGGCCCTGTAGGACGGGAAAGGTTCATTTTGAAGAAATAATCGGTGGTAATTATTTCCCAAGTAGATGGAAAGCATGGATTATTACTTTTTAAAAAGCACAGTATAATTCAAGTATAGCAAGTAAAGTATCTACTTCAAAACACATTGTAGCAAACATGCAGAAAATCAAAGGCAAAGAATAGAAGCCTTCAGCCAGAGGAAAGGCAGAGTGCGCGTTCAAGGACAGTAGTTGGACTGGCAGCAGGAGACCACACAAACCTGGAACCTTCCCCCCAAAGCAGTGGCCTCAGCCCGGGGTGAACGCGGAGGCTCCAGGCCCGGCGGAAGTAGAATCAGAAACCTGCATTTTAATAAGATCCCATTCATCTTGTTTTAAAGCAAAAAAAAAAAAAATATTTTTTTGCCAGTTGTGGGGCTTGAACTCTGGGCCTGGGCGCTGTCCCTCAGCTCTTCAGCTCAAAGCTAGCTCTCTACCACTTGAGCCACAGCGCCATTTCCAGTTTCTGGTGGTTTATTGGAAATAAGTTTCATGAACTTTCCTGCCTGGGCTGGCTTTGAACTGCGATCCTCAGATCTCAGCCTCCTGAGTAGCTAGGATTACAAGTATGAGCCACTGGCGCCCGGCGCTTTGTGTTTTAAAGCAAAATTTAAAATCACTTATGAGTCTGACTAGACATTTCTTCAGACTGGTGATCAGTTATCACATGAAAAGGTGTAGCGCTTTGATTTTTTGTGTTTGCCCATTCTGGGGCTTGAACTCAGGGCCTTTGTACTGTCCCCTGAGCTTCTTTTGCTCAAGGCTAGCACTCTGCCACTTGGACTCCACCTCCAGCTTTTTTGGTCATTTTTGGAGATAAGTCTCATAGACTTTCTTTTTCTGGCTGGCTTTGAACTTAGATCTCAGCCTCCTGAGTAGCTAAGATTACAAGCGTGAGCCACTGTGCCCAGCAAGTTGACTTTTTGTTTTTGTCGGTCGTGGGGCTTGAACTCTGGGCCTGGGTGCTGTCCCTCAGCTCTTCAGCTCAAGGTGAGCATTCTACTGCTTGAGCCACAGTGCCACTTCCGGTTTTCGAGTGGTTTATTGGAGATCAGAGTCTCCTGGACTTTCCTGCCCCGGCTGGCTCTGAACCACGATCCTCAGATCTCAGCCTCCTGAGTAGCTGGTGTGAGCCACCAGCGCCCGACTAAGTTGACCATTTTTAATAAAAGTTATTTTGGGGTGTTTTTCTTTTTTTGCGGCTAGATGAAACCCAGCCTTGGGTTTGCTAAACTTAACAGACTGCTGCTGAGCTACACGCTACATGGCGTAGTCTGGTCTTGCCTCTAAGAAAATGAAACAGGCTCAATAATTTGCAAGCACTAGCAATGCAGGGACTTACAGTGCTGGAGGCCGGGAGTCGCCGGTGTGGGCTGCGCGGGTGTGGGCTGTGCGGTGAGGTGTGGGCGCGGGTGTGGGCCGTGTGCTGAGGTGAGGGCCGTGCGGTGAGGTGAGGGCCGTGTGCTGAGGTGAGGGCCGTGCGGGTGTGGGTCGTGTGCTGAGGTGTGGGCCGTGCGGGTGTGGGTCGTGCGGTGAGGTGAGGGCCATGCGGTGAGGTGAGGGCCGTGCGGGTGTGGGCCGTGCGGTGAGGTGAGGGCCGTGTGCTGAGGTGTGGGCCGTGTGGGTGTGGGTCGTGCGGTGAGGTGAGGGCCATGCGGTGAGGTGAGGGCCGTGCGGGTGTGGG